AAAAGTGTCTTACTTTTTTTAACAGAGGGAGTATATTTTTAATATTGTTTCTATTTAAAGTGATTAACTATAAAAAATAATGTGATGAAAATTTAAAAATATTTCACTTAAATAGGTGTAGAATTAAAAATTTATTTCATTTTTAGATAAATTAATTAATAATTTAACCAACTTTCATTAATTTTGATAGAGATAGGAAGGAGTTTGTGTGTGCATACGCACAAACACATGCACACGATACATGTATCGGCTCTGTGAATTCGATGGAATCAATTGTGAAGAGCAAGGATGAGATAAGGTGGCGCCTGCACAACTTTGTCATCACGTGGTTGTATCGTTGAGGAACAATACTGTCCTAATGCAACGGGATAGTATTGAGAAATTATCACCTCTATATAGTCTAACTTGAAGACTAAACATTTGCACATCCCAGATGTGTACTTGATTTATCCTACTTATAGTTATATATGCTTGTCTCAGATACTAAGTAACTATGTAAATATGAGCCACTTTAAGCATTGAACCTGTAAATGATTCGTTAAATGAATCATTGTTTGTTTGATAGTACATGCTATATTGCTATTTGAACAACCATGATAATTAACGAGTAATCTTACAATTAACATGTGCAATAAATTCTGACTCATGGAAGAAGTGCATTTGCTAGATATTTTTTTTTAAAAACTTAAATTAGATGACAAAAATTATAAGACCGAGGTGTAATATTGTTGAATTGGTTTATTTGATTCAAATTTTCTTTCTCAAAATTAATAGGAACGGTGCAGTACTTTAAGTGGGAAAGTAACAGTGGCCTATTATTGAGTTCCAAGCTGTAAGAATATTAATTGAAAGAATGATTTATATTTTTGGATTTTTGGAATATTACTTAAATGTGAAGTTTTAACGAAAACTGATACAACAAAATATATTTTTCTCGCTCCCCTAAAAACATAGTTAACTTAATTATTTCTTTTATATCATGAAAAAAGTAAACAAATCTTCATAATCCAACAGCTTGGCCCAATCATTCTGGTCATGTCAAAGAAACACACAGAATTAGTCTTTATTCAGTGTATGGGCCCATGTCATATTTTTTACTTTTTGTCTGAACCCAAGTTTAACTAAAAGGAAAAAAAATTAAAAAAATTTAATTACCATGCTTTCGTTTTGCGAAGTATTGCCGTTTTCTTAAAAATGACGTATAACTCGGCACTTCTCCATTAAGTTTTTAGACATGGAATTAATTTCGTACAATACATAGAAAAGTTAAAATACAACCAATTCAAATAGTGATTCAATTATTGCCTCTATTGTTTTCATAATTCTCCTACCTACTAATTTGATTTATATATTAAAGATAAATCAATTATTAACTTAATAACTTTGTAATTTCAATCATTTAAAATTTAAATCAATTGGACATGTTTATGTATAGACATGTATTAGAATGGATTAGGGTTTTCTCATGCTATCGTTGATTTACTAGCTTAATTGTTTATTCTGTTCTTGATTGAAACTGATAATACTTTAATATGGCTTAATCAGCTAATTATACAAATACCTAGTATTCCCTTGAAATTGGTTACATTACACATACTACTTCATTTTCTTACGTAATATATTTTGGTATGTTTAAATTTGTTATGAGTTCTTTTGTTGATAACGTAACTAAATTAATTAAGAATATATTTTCATGTCTCAAAAGTCAAAACATTAAAATAAAAGAAGAGATAAGCAACATATTCTTTTCGTTAAATATGGTGCTTTGTCTCTCACTAGTGACTTTCACTATGTTAAAATAATAATTTTCTCTCACTATTCACACCATATCAACTTGTGAAGGTCAGCTTCATACATTATAATTATAATTATGGTTAATGTTTAAGTCTCTCGAGTTTACTTAGACTTAGCAGCATCGGGGATTGTATTGTAATGTCCTTAATTATTAAGCTTTGGATGCTTCCGTGTGGGAGCTAAACGTTATTATTAGGTTAGAGCCAAATCATGCTTAGCCGAAAAAACAGAGAGAAAAATTGCAAAGTACAAACTTAGATAAAAATATTTACATAGTTTTAGTTTTTGAGTCAATATTTTGAAATTTTGAATGATATTTGCCTTTTCTTTACACTTGATAGACAAGTCCATTGGTTCTCTCACGGTACAAATACTCGTATTCAATAAAATGCAATTTGTTGGTTAAAAGTTCTGTTCATGTTAATGTGTACGCTATTGTCATTGAAAATAGACGATTAGGATTAAACCAATGTTTTGATTTATTGATATATTTATCGCGTCAAACTCAAAGATATCTTAATTATAATGCTCCTTCCATCTTTACATATAAAGTATTTTTAATTAAATTTTACATATCAATAAAAATTTGTTATTTAATTAAAATTACAATAATTTTTTAATTTTTCCCTTAATAATGTCAATTCATATCATGGTGATGATGGTTAAAGGACCCAATTAATATATCTTTCCTTTTTATTAAAATAGGAATAAAATTATCTAATTATTTAAAAATATTATGACATCCTTTATATTTAAAAACAAAATAAGCTTCAAAACAAAAATCTATATGTAAAGATGGAGGGAGCAGGTTATACTAAGTGCAGTGATTTTTATTCTTTTTTAAACTATATTTGGTAAGTTACAAAATAATACTCATTTGGTCTTACTTATCAGGCAAAAAAAAAAAAAACAAGTTTTTGATTGGTTCTATTTATAAGACAATTCAATTATTATTATATTCACTTTTATCATTTTATTCCTATTATATGCTAAAAAATTTATTAAACATTAGAATATTTTATCTTAAAATAAGCTTATTTAATATGGATATAGTTAGAAACTAGTTGAATTTGTATACAAAGTTAATAAAATTTAAAATTTTCTTTGATTCCTATAAAAATACTGGAGGTAACATATAAATAAGATTATAGGAAGTAGTAGAAACTTTTATATTGTATGTTAAACCAAAATAGGGCTTAAATGTTTGTATTATTCTTTACCAAAAAATATCTATATGATTGAGAGCCTAATCATATATAGAATAAGATAGTCTTCAATAGAAAGCCACATACATGTAAAAAAAAAATGTTTATATGATTATATCAATTTATTAATTGTCAAGCATGAGTTTTTTCAAAAAAAAAATTCAGCTATCTAATTAGATCAAATTTAAATATTATCAGGTCTAATTGAGAATAAATATTTCAAAAACATTTTTACATTCACATGGCCAAGAACTCAAAACCTTACCATGATGTGTTTTGATTTTTAAGGGGAAAAAAATGATGAAAGAGATTTTAAGCACATTGGGTCTCAACCTGAGGGCCACCATAACCTTGCAGGCTAAGCCCATCTCACCCTAGGCATGTGCTATAGTAGCTTCGGAGTAAATAACTTGAGTGGCTCCAAGTAATTATAATATCAATTTATTCCCTAATACATCAGGCTTTGGAATTCAATACTTGGAAATAAATAAAAAAAATGAGTTGGATAGTAAAAAAAATATTCCATAAAAATCTACAATCCAGGAAAAAATAAAAAATTAAATGTCGAAGTCGAGTTGAGTAAGCGGGGAATTAAAACAAGCACAGATAATCATACATGTTTTGTAATCTATTGTGCGGATTATAAAATATAATGCAGTCTTCATTAATTATAAATAGAGTAGTTTGATGTAAATTTCATACAATGTATTGATGCATTTTTTTTTTGGGTACTGATAATATATATTTATATTAATTATTAGAAAGTCTATGGTTCATGTACGACAGAAAAAATAATACTACTTACATCCCATTTTATAAAACATTTTTAGAGAGATTTTACATCTCAAAATATAAGATATTTTGACAAAAAAATATTTTATTAATATCTTTTTTAATATTACCTTTCCCATCATATTTTCTCCTATTTAATATTCTATCACAATAAAGTATTGAATAAATGATATTTTTAAGTTTTATATTTTTTCTTAAAAAATAAGGTTATAAAATAAATTTAATAAACTTTTATTAATATGAGTAACTTTATCAAAAAAATATCTGATAAATTAGGACAAATGGAATGGTAGTATAAGAGAAAAGGATTGTAAAGGGGTCTAACTTCGAAGGTCCTTCACAAGGCACATGTGCATACATGTTGCTTGAAATTTCCAAGGTTTAAGAAAATTAATTAAGTGTGATAACTATGTTTGAAATTAAAAAAATTAAATGCTAAATTACCCTAATAATTAATGAGAAAATTTGTATTGTAAAAATAAATGACTTCATGAGCGGTAATTTGAAAAAAAAATGTGATAAATGTTTCTTAAATTTTATATACAAAAATAAGTATATTACATTTTTTTCTTATAATAAAAAATGGAGGGAATATTTATAAGTGGCTTTGTATTTTTTTTATTTTGAATTATATATGGGTGTACATGTTTAGTTAACAGTTTTTTATATGATTATCTAACTAGGTCGAATTATTATCGAGCCTAATTAAAGATAGTTCTCCTAAATGCATTCTCCACATTTAGACAAATTCAAACATGATAGTATATATTTAAATGATTTCAGCCCTATCATTCATTTCCATAATGAAGTTCAATATTTTTCAAATATGTTATTCAATCTCTCTCTCTCTCTTTCTATCTCTGTGTGTGTGTGTTAAGTTCAATATTTTTCAAATATGTTATTCAATCTCTCTCTCTCTGTCTGTGTGTCTCTGTGTGTGTGTTAAGTTCAATATTTTCAAATATGTTATTCAATCTCTCTCTCTCTCTCTCTCTCTCTGTGTGTGTGTGTGTGTGTGTGTGTGTGTGTGTTACAACATATATTAAGCAAGCTAAGTGTGTGTGTTTCATTATATTAAGCAAGTTAAGTGAGATCATGATATAACATCTTTTTCCAAGGCTAAATATTAAAAAAAAATTTCTATAAGCATAGTATTATGGGGATGTCTCTATAAGCATATAATATTGTATATATGAGAACGTAGCTTAGCAAGAAAAATAAAAGGAAATTAAAGCCACAAGCTTACAAGAAATCAAGGAGAGTATCTCACATGAAAATTCCATCATGGACCCATGCTTTGTCCCTAAAGTTGAAGGATGCATATACTAATGATACATCGAGAGGAATATTTTTTTTTTCTTCAGAAAAAATTATTATAATAATTCTTCTTCTTCTTCTTTTTAACTTTTTCGATGCATGAGATGAAACAACTACATAACTTTAGTAAATAGTAGCTGAGGAAGGAAAAACAGAATCTTTCATCAGCTGGCTTTTGCAGCCTCTTTTCCTTTTCCCCCTTTAATTCGTATTCAAATTTTAAATTGTAAAATATAAAAAAGTGTAAACATAAATAATAATAAAAATAATAACTAAATAAAAAGGAAAATGAAAAAGGCAGTGCCGATGATATGAAGAAATAGAGGCAGCAAAAAAAAAAAAAAAAAGAAAAGCAGAGCAAAAGAAGCCACCATAAAGCAGTCCAGGAGGTGTCACGCCACTGAGCTTGACAAACTTCTTTTCTTTCTTGTTATTATTTATTATTTATTTACCTGCATGGGAAAAAGATAAAGGCAAATAAGAATCATAAAGAAGAAAATAAATAATTAAAATGAAGAGAAAAGAAAGACATGTGGAGCAATATTACCATGTCGACCAGCACAAGTGGTCTTTAAGAAAGCAAAGAAAATAACGAGGACAGCTATTCCTGCTAATAATCCAATTATAATCACAAATGTCTTTTCTCCTCCATTCTTTGATTTCCCTGCAATCATGAGTTCACGTTGATTATATTATTACAATTTACAATTAATTACAATTATAAACAAAGTATAGTTTTATATTTATTTACACGCTACTCAGGATTCCAATGGATATTCAATATGTTTGTGTTTCATATAATGATATTTTATTACTATTACTACTAGCATTCATTGAGTGATAATATTTTTTACTATTTAATTCAAATGTAACAAATCTCACGCCTATATTACTCTCAGTGGGATAATAATTTTTTGATCTCGAATTCTAGATTGTATTTGTATCCTAAAATTTGTTTAAATTACAGTTTCTTCTACTTTCAAATTTTGCGTATATTTTAGAAAATAAGAAGAATACATGTTCTCCCTTCATTAAAAAATGTAAGGCATTTTTTGAGGAGTTGGATGTTTAAAAATATAAGGTATTTTTAGTTTTTTGATGTGTAATTATTATATTTTTTTAAAAGTATCCCTATTGATAAATAACTTTATATTTATTATAGGTTGTTTAATAAAAATAAATATAAAAAGATATAATTAGTGTGAAAGTAGGCAATTACTTTATTGAAAGTGAGATTCATTAAAAATGTCTTATATTTTTTAACGGAGAGAGTAATTTTGATAAAATGAAGGAGGAATCTGTATAAAATTTGAAAACATAGAAAATAATTGAATAATATTATTACATTTCATAAAAATATTTATGTTTAAAAATAAAAAGATCATAAAATTTTAAAATTTAAAGAAGGTTTAATTTAAAAATAAAAATAAGTTAGCCTTCGGCCTTACCATGGGCCTTGGGTTCATAAGCGTGGGCCCCACCAACAGAGTATCTCGCATAACACTTGCCCAAGAACAAGTCCCCATAATTAGCAGTTCCACAGTCGCTCCGGAGCCGTCGGATCGCCTCCGAGAGGCAGTCCTGGCACTGATCGAACCCGAGATCGCCGGTACACTGGCCCACACCCTTCACTTTACCCGACCCGACCACCCTGAAATATCCGCCCGAACCCGACAACCCAGATAACACCGCTTCGGTGCTCCCCATATTGTCGCTGCTTCCCACGGAAGGTCCGCATTTCTTGAAAACGACGGTCTTGTCCTCGACGCCGACGAAGGTGGCATTATCATACTTGACGAAGCAGCCCTCGAGCTGGACGGCGGCGCCGCATGTGGAGGGGCAGAGGGCGGAGACGCGGGTGAGAGAGCGGGAGACGCAGGAGGAGCAGTCGGGCATGGAGAGGTCGCCGCGGCATTGGTAGAGGCCGTAGACGACGGAGGAGCCGAGGACGGTAAAGTTGGAGTAGGAAGAGTAGGTGGCGGAGCTAAGGAGGGAGGTGAGCAAGGCCTGGAGGTTGGAGGAGTAAGGGGAGTCCGGCGAGTATTTCTCTTGGGTGCAGCCGGCGAAGATGAAGGAGTCTACGGGGGGTGAGCTAGACAAAGTGTAAGGGATGGTGGTGGCGAGGAGAAGAAAGAGTAGAGAGGGACTCGCCATGTTTACACAGGGAGAGCAAAGATGAGGATGGAGAGGTTAGTGGAGAGTTCCAAGTAGAGGAGGAACTTCTAGTCGAATGAATTATATATATATATATAAGGTTGTTTGGTTTGGTGTTTTCACATTTGAAATGCAGAAACACTTGAGAGAGCAAAGCTAGCAGCGAAGACAGTTGCTTTAAAAATGATAGTCAATTTTCTTTTTTGTTGTTAATAGAATTTTTTTTTATTAAAAACAATCTTATTTGCATCTTGTCTTACCATATTATAAAGAATTAGCTCATTGTTTTACCATATTATGAAGGATTAGCTCCTTTTCCTATATATAGTAATGATAGTTAGCTTAAACTTGAGAATTATTTGATTTTCTTGACTCTATTTTTAATTTATATAATTATAATGTTCAAGTTGAATTTGAGAAATTTAATATTTTTTAATTAAATTTTCTAAACAATTAGGTAAAATTTTTTAAGGGTTTCTATTATTTTTATAAATTTTTTAATTATTAATATTAAGTAGTGTTTTACATTGAAATGTTATGTAGTTGTTTAGAAGCTATGACATTTTTTAATAATAAACGCTACCTCTTGTTCACTTTTAAAAAGTAGATATATAATACTCTTTTCGTTAAAAAAATATAAAATATTTTTAATTAAATCTCACCCTTATTAAAATAGTTATATACTTTTAAATTAATTTTATTTTTTTATTCATCCCAATTAAACGCCCTATAATAAATATAACGTTATTATCACTAGGGACATTTTAAAAAAAAAGCAATGATTACACTTTAAAAAATTAAAAATGCCTTACATCTTTTAATATCCAACTCTTTAAAAAATAATTTATATTTTTTAATATCTAACTTCTTAAAAAATGACTTTTATTTTTTAATATCTAACTTCTTAAAAATACCTTACATTTTTTAATAAATGAAGTAATTAATAAGCGGTAATATTTTAAGTTGAAAACACTATCTAATATTCTTCAACTTTATTTGGGTGACATTTTTTATTTTAATGACTTCAGATGTATATTACTAAATTTCATTTTTACAGTAGTGTAAAGTGATTAGAAAGATAGATGGGAAGATATTTGATTTCAGAGTTGTCATTTTGAGAATATATGCATAATATTTTTTAAACATTCATTTTACCCACGTTTGGTGTTTGAATTTGACTCAAAAAATTTAAGTTTTGTGGTAATCGATTTTTAAAATTAATTTATAAAAATTAGTTTGAGCATAATTAAAACATAATAAAAAAAATAAGATAACATAATGGTTTTGTCACTTTATAAAAATATACTCAAACACCTCTATTATATGTTAAAATTAGTTCTAAATTCAAAGCTTTTTTGAAAAATATATACTTTTTATTACATGTTAAAATTAATTTTGCATCCGAAATTATAGTTTTCTTAAAAATATTCAAACATCTTTCATACGTGTTAAAATAAATAATGAATCCAAACCCATAGTTTACTATCTCATAAGCTATTATTACAACATTTTCAAATAATCTTTTTTAACTATATTTTGCTAAAATTTATGCAAAAATGACCATATCAATTCTATTTTAAAAGAACTATGTGCATAATTAGAAAACTAGAAGTTGGCAAAAAAAATTAAAAATAATTATTTACATTATATAAATATTAGATGTCATAACTAATAAAATGATATTTACTAATAAAAAGGGAAAACTAACCTATAAATTTAATTTTGTAAACTAATACTTGTAAAATATTACTTCCAATATTATATTTAACATAGAAATATGTTAAATTAATCATCATCAATCTGATCACAGTTGGATCACGGTTTAAACCTCGAATCACTGGCCCACCCTGTAATGGCTGACTTAGTTTTTAAATCATTCGAAAAAAAATATAAAGCTTATTCCATGACTAAACTGAAAATTTATCTTTCCATTTTGATTGATCAGCTTAAACTAAATTTACAGTATTTCCGAAGAAATTTTTATAATTGTTTATCATCATAAGAACGTAATTAAAATTTGTGTTGTCATGCTTCAATCTTCACACCGGCGGAATATAGAGACATATCCCTTTATGTACCAACTGTGTGAGCTCTACAATCATAGATGCTCTTGTACTTGTCCGGATTTTTGCAAAAATAAAAAAATTGCAGCAGTCATTAATATTTTATTTATTCCATTACCCAATATTCTGAAAATTTGAGGATATTAATATCATTGGCCCAAACTAATTCAAATCCTCTCTTTGTGGTATCATTGTTGTCGACAACAGTCTCATGAGTACTTTATAAATGATTTTGTCATATTTGTTTAATATAATTGTATATTTTAATGCTCAAACTCAAAATTTTAAAATAAGTTGATTCAACCTGACATTTCTACTTGTTGAACCAAGCATCCCGAGTACAGTGATTAATATTTTGAGGATGAACAGCCACTACTTTCAAGTGATAAGAGTATAATGGAATGTGGTAAGTAGAAGTAAGTGCATAATTAATTAGGGTCGAACGAATTATATGAAAAAAACTAGGGTTTAACAAGTCCAAATAAAATTACAAAATCTTACAATAAATAAAATTTATTCCCTATTTACATGTAAGTGTAAAACTTGGATACCAAGCTTCTTGGCTTAATAACTAAAGCTTGAGAATAAAAGTTGTTTATTTAAGCCCATATTTATAAGAGTTTAAGTTTAAAAAATAATGTATTTTTAGAGAAATTGAACTTTGAGATCCAACCTTGATGGGCTTTAAAAAATTAGTTTGGGCGGCTTAGGCCTTTTCATTTTACCTCTAAAAAAATAAAATATTTTAGTTTTAAAATTGAATTTAAACTTATAATATATATTTATATTTTAAAATTAAAATTTCTATTATTTATTTAATAAAAACCAAGTTTTAAAAAATAATCAATTTTGAGATAATCGAACTTATGAACATTAGAGCCTGGCCTGCTTATTTCTTGACTTTATAATAACTAGGGGTGTGCATTTTACCTACAAACCTATGCGTACCCACCCAAGCCATTTTAAAATAGGTCAACTCATACTTGCTCAAAAGGGTAGAAAATGGGTATGGGCCGGTGGCCACCCATTTAACCAAATATGAGCGAGTAATAGGTGAGGCCTCGAGTGGCCCGTATCCACTCGTATATAGCTCTTTTATTTAAAAAAAATAGTCTTCTTATGAGCTGGGCACTAGATAGTAGGAGGTACTTGGATAATGCTTGGAAAAAAGTGAAAAACCCAACCCAAAGTCCCAAATATCAAACACCTATGGCGTGCCCCACCTCTGCTTCTCATTCTCTCATTCATTTGCCACATGCAACACAGTTGCTAGTCATGAGTCTCCGACTCACCGCTTGCCCCCTTCTCCTTTGGCCACGACTTGCTTAAGTCGAGAGAGACTGTGAGTGCGAGGAACTTCGGCTTCAACTTTGCCATTTGCCTTTTCCCATGCTCCACCTCCGCCATTGACCTCGACTGTAGTAGATACACACACTGTTGCATCAACCTACCTTCTTCTTAGCTCTTAGGTTATTGCTTTGCTGTGCTCCCATGATCCTTCCCTCTTCTACTCTTTTAAGTTTTCTCTTATATTATTTATGTTACAAATTAAAAAGATTGGTAAACCTTGATCAACATTGTGACATAATGTGCTAAATATGTATTTGGTGGCTTCAATCTCTTCTGTTCATAGTACCTTCAAGAGTTTCAATATTATCTTAGTTAAAGTTGCCTCTTTTTCCTTATCATTCCTCTTTATTAAACTAAAATGAGATGAAAAGTACATGTTTTGAGTCTTGACTAAATTTTTTTTAAAAAAGCTAGTGCTATAGGTTAAACGGTGGCCTAAACCTACTCAAACTCATTTGCATCTGTTTTAAAATAGATGCAAACATGTTAGTACAAACAAGTGGCTACCAATTTAACAAAAAACGAGTGAATATTGAATAAGGCTATAGGTGGCTCATACCAACTCGTGTACACCCCTGATAATAATACTCTTGTGACTTCACACTCCTTGAAAGGGGAAAGTTGTAGATTCTTTACCTCAAATGTCACATAGTTAATGAGTGGGTGTTTGAGTGCGTGTCACTTTCTTTATGAGAGAATGAACTTGTATGTGGGTGTGTCTAGAATTTGTCCCGCCTATCAAACAATAATAATTTTTTTTTAAAAAAGGAAACAGAAAGAATTGCAGGGTAAGGGCTACATGTGTATGCAAATAATTTGAAGTTTCGAAATCAAATTTAGACATTCCACGTCGGATCTTATTTTTTGGATATAGCTTTTGCGAGAGAAGACAGAAAATAACAACTGTGGCATCGCACTGGGCGGCGTGGACATGTGATTGTGATCCACTGTTCATCGTGATTTGCAAAAGGATATGTTGCGAGATCCGCAGATTTCATGGCAATGTGAATCCCATGCAACCACAACTTTAAGGAACCTTTTTCAACGTATTCGATGCGCTATGATTTCACTAAATATCATCTTTCATGTCATCTTGTGTTTTGTGTATTTTTTTTTTAAATATAAATTTAAGTCTTTATATTTTACTAAAATCTCGCTAAAAGTTTATATTTTTTTAATATTTTAAATCATTATACTTTTTTTTATTTACACTTTATATATTTATAATACTATTTATAAAGGGATTTAAAATATAAAAAAATGTAAGAATTTATAATATAAAAAATACATAGACTCAAAATTATATATTTTTTAAAAAATGTAAAGATGAAAGTAGGAGAATTTTTTTTTTTTTAACTTTCTATAGTTCAGGCTCCTTCAGAAGCCCAATTCCATCATCAATTGGGCTAGAACGAGCTTCCGTGGCCGGATCCGAGGGACTTGCTGGAGTTTCCATAAGTGGTTTTTTTTTTTTTAATTGACAATTGTGCCATTAGGCATTTATCTTAATGACATTTTTGCCCACCCTATGTTTATTGAGTTTTTTTAATGAAAACAAATTGGGGAAGCCGATCTCGATGCACTTGTGCACTGAAGAACCACGTGGTGGAACCACAATCTGCGAGCGAAGTAAAGCGTTCAATAGCCATGAG